GTATGTTCTCTGACCACAGTGGAATTAAACTAAAACTCAGTAACAATACAATATATAGAAAAGACCTTGAGCCATAGCAGGACTGAGTAATAAAAAAGGAAAGAAGTCACAAACTACCAATATCAGGAATGAGAGAGGTGTTACCACCCGCATCCTACTGATGTTAAAAAGATAATAAAGGGGATAAGAAGAGCAATGTTATGGCAATAAACACAACAAGTTTATATGAAAAACACAACTGAAAAAATAAAATTAGAAATCTGAATAGTCCTATAATCTATTGAAGAAATTTAATGTATAAGCAAAATCATCCCATAAAGAAGACTTCAAACTTAGGTGAATTCTATTAATGTTTAAAGAAGAACTAGCACCATTTTTAAACAAAATCTTTCTGACAACAGAAAAGGAGGAAACATTTCCCAAATCATTTTATGGAATTAGCTTAACCCTGTTATCAAAACCTGACATAGATATTACAAGAAAACTGTAGACCTATGTCCTTCATGAACATAGGTGTAAAAATTCTCAACAAAATACTAGTTCAATTGAAATTTACCCCAAGAATGCAAGATTGGTTTCATATTTGAAAATCAGCCAGTATAATTCAACGTATAGACAGAATAAAGGAGAAAAACAATAGGATCATTTCAATCAGTGCAGAAAAGTGTTTGACAAAACCCGTACCCTTTTATGATCGAGGAGAACAACCTCTAAAAAACTAGGAATAGAAGAGAAAATCTTCAATCTGATAGAGGAAACCTATATTAACATCATTCTTAATAGAGTATAGTGAATACACCCCCCCTATGACTGAGAACAAGGCAAAGGTGTCTGCCTTATCACTTCTATTTAGTATTTACTGAAGGTCCTAGCCAATGCAGTAATGCAAGAAAAAGACGTGAAAGGTATAAAGTTCGAAAAAACAGAAGTAAAGCAGTATTTACTGAGTACCCAATTGTTAATGTAGAAAATCCTCAGGAATCTACAAAACAACTACTAGAACTCATGAGTGAATTAAACAAGGTCACAGGAAACCAGATCTATATACAAACAATCAATTGTATTTCTATATACTAGTAGCAAATGACTGGGAAATGAAATTGTAAAATTCATTTTCAATTGTGTCAAAAAACTAAATACTGAGGAATAAAAACAAAAGATGTGCAAAACTTCTAACATGAAAACTATAAAACATTATGAAAGAAATTAAACAAGGCCTAAATAAATAGAGATGTGAATTGGAAAACTCAAAACAATCCAAGTTAAACTCTCAGCAATTTTTTTTATAGAAAATGATAAATGGATCCTAAAATGTATACAGAAAAGCAAAGGCCAAACAAACCTTGAACAAAACCAAAGTTGAAGAGTTTCTTTACTTGCTTTGAAGACTTACTATAAAACTACAGTAATTAAGGTAGTGCATTATTGGTATAAGAATGAACAAATGGATCAATTAAAAAGAATGGATCAAGTCCAAAAGTAGATTCACACACACACACACACACACACACACACACACACTCACACACGTATGATCAACTGATTTTCAACAAAGTATCAAGGCATTTCAATGAGGAAAGAATGGTCTTTAATAAATGGTGCTGGAACAACTGGATAAATGTACAGAAAAAGAACTCTACCCTCTACCTCACACAATACATAGAAACTAATGTGGAATGGATCATAGACTAAATGTGAAAATTGAAACTATAAAGTTCTACAGGGTAGCATAGGAAAGTATTTTCGCATCTTTAGTCTAGGCAAGGATTTTTTTTCAGGACACAGAAAGTAAAAGTTTTAATGATAAACTGGGCTTCATGAAAATTCAAACTTCTGCTAATCAAAAAGCATCTACATCAATCTGTATAAATGGTGAAGAGTCTTTTATGTGCTATTCTTGATACTTTTCTGTAAGTTGGAAATTATTTCCAAATAAAAAGTTTTAAAAAGATACCATTGAGAAAATAGGGAAGAAAATATTCACAATACGTATATTTGACAAAGAACATGTATCCAAAATATATAATGAACTTTTACAATTATAAGAAAGCAATCCATTAAAAATTAAGCAAAAGACTTAACAGATACTTCACAAAAGGTGATATACCAGTAAACATATATAAAAGTGCTCAATATTGTTAGTCTTAGAAAGTGCAAATAAAAATTACAGTGATATCCATTTCATACCCACTAAAACTGACTAAAATTGACCGTCCGATAACCCAGAAGTAGGCGAGGACGTGGAACCACTGCAACCACTTTGGAGAGCTGTTTCCAAAAATTATACAAATGTCTCCCCCAATGACTCAGCAACCCATTCCTAGTTATTTATCAAGAGAATGAAAATACATGCCTACCAGAAAATGCTACAAGCATGTTTATGCAGGTTTTATTCATATGAAACCAAAACTGGAAACAACTCAAATGCCCATCAACAGGAAAATGGAGAAATAAAATGTTGTATATCTATACCAGACTAAGCAATAAAAGAAATAAACTATTGATACATACTACAACATGGGTGAATCTCAAAAAGTCATGTTAAGTGAAAGAATCCAGTCACAATAGAGTATATTCTATATCATTCCATTTATAAGAAATTAGAGAACAGACAAAATTCATCAATGGTGATAGAAATCAGAAGAGTGATTGCCCATGGGGTAAGGATTGACTAGAGGGGGCCAGGAGGGAACTTTCTAGGATGATTGACACATGCTGTATTTTGATTGGAGTGGTGATTACATGGGTGTATACATTTATCAAAACACATGAGATTGTACAGTAAAATCTGTGCATTACAGTTACACAAATTTTACCCCCATGAAGAAATAAGAGACCGCAACTATTTTTATAATATCCATTCGTCACGAGGATAGAATGGGAGCCTTCTAATGGCTTCCTATTGTGAACAATAAGCTTATAAACTGCTTACCTTGACATCAAGGACCTGTACAGTTTGACTGCTCTTACCTACCCCTTCTAGCTTGTGTCTCTCCCTTACCTACCAGGTCCTAGCCTTGCTAGTTCCACTGTCTAAAGTAGGTCATTTCTTGGTATTTTTCAGTTCAGCCTCTTATTGTTTCCTTCACTACATTTAGGATAACTTGCATTTATTTTGTCTATGCTTTTTTCACCTGCTTTTTCCAATGGAGTAGGAGGTCTAGGAGGGTAGAGATGTTGTCTTTTTCACCATTGTATCGCTGGTGCCTGACTCAGTATTTGTTGAATGTGTGAATGAATTAATTCCTATAATTCCATATGCCAATGAAGTGATAGTATACTTAAACACTCCTATTTGGAGTTTGATCATTAACAATGTAGGTAAAAATTATGCAGTCTTATCCCTACAAGCACAGCAAACATTTAATAAGACTGTCACAGATGAGTTTTTGGTTAATGCAGCTATTCGCTTTGTTCCCTTTCCCTTTCCAGGATCTTTATAGTCTTTCCTTTTATTTTCCTACTCAGAACTTCTTACAGAAGAGACCTAGTATCATCCCTAATGACAATGTCTTCCAAGCATATTTGACCTTGTACTCCTTTAGTAAAAAATATTTGTGTACACCTACCATATAGGTATATTTATTTATTTTGGAAACATATAAATATACTATATAATGAAACATACACAAAAAGAGCATTTTTAAAGGATGGGATGAAAGTTCTAATATGTTCTTCCTGCACTTCAGTGCATGGTTGTGTATTATCCCCCATCCCCCGCATGTGCTCATTCTACTTTGAAGTCATGGCCTTAGGGTAAATGCAATACTACATTTACTTATACACCTAAGGGTAATATTGCAGTAGTGTTAAGACTTTGGCATGTTAAACCTTAGCTCTGACTATGGATTGAAAGCCTTTATTGCTTTTTAAATGAATTTATGTTATCATTTTAGGGCAGGTAGGGTAAAATTTTTAGGTCTGGGGCATACTCTGAAATCATCTCACCTAATTTTTACTGTATTCTTAATATTGTTTAATGATAGTTTTTCCACAAGAAGATATGTAGAGTATTTTAGAGGGAGGCAATAATGAAATTAGGAATGTCGGAAGGAGAAAGCAGGGAAGTTATAGAAAAGGCTATGTTGATTTTTTAAAATAGTTAATAACACTATAAATATTGACAACTGTATTTGAATGAAATGTCTCCTTGGGCGATTGCTATTTATAGAAAATAAGCAGTATGGTGCTTTTAGACAAAGTTGCCAAAAATGGGAAAAATCATTTATTCTCAGATAAAAAGACAGTCTTTAAGGGAGCATCAATTCTACTATATAGCAGCCTTAGACAGGTTTGGAGACTTTAAGCCTGCTGTGTTACCTCTGAGACCTAAAGGAAGCAGAACATAAAAATGAGCCTCTATCAATTTGAAGCAAACCTAATCTCTGTGATCATGGCTGTGGTCTAAATCTATTAAATATGTTCAAATTCAGTGTCCTTGGTATCACTGCAGGTTGACCTGACTAGTGAGCAATAAACTTGTGTGTTATAATTCTGGTTGGAAGAGATGTGCTTAGGAAGTGAAACCGACAGTCAGTGTTTTGTGTCTGTCTCTAAACAGACTAAGAGCCTATATAAAATGACAGGTGCATTTTTAGGGAAAGAAACCCATAATGTTTTCCTATTTAGTAGGTGACAGTATGTCCCAAGATAACACAAGCTTAAGGGGCTGGAACAAGCATGGTTATTAAAGGCTAGCAGTTTCTCAGTTCATACAAATTGAATTTTTTCATAGGCTAGAGGACTGTGGAAATCTAGGGTAGAGCACTGAAATAAATTAACATATTAAGTGAATTTATATATTCAGGCTTGTAAGCACTGAATTTGAGGGAGAAATTTTATTACTTCTTGAAAGAAAAAGGCAATTCTTAAATTCTGTGTTTGATCTCCATGTTGGAAAGGATCTATATGATAAATTATATCATTTTATGATTATCCAAAGAAGTGGTTACTAAATTGATGAGAATTATTCACACTTCTGTCTCTTTTTTCAGAATTACTGATTTGGGGAACATCAAAAGAAGATTGTATTTATCAACGGTCCATAAGGAACTATCCTCAACCCCTCTTCATGCAAAAATCCCACTCTTCATGATAAAGCGCAAAATTGTAAGTGTCATATGACTGTTGCCTAAAATATTAAATTCACTTTTGCAGACATTCATTATGGGCCTACTCTGTGTGTGAGGCACTTTGTTAGTATCATGGTGCTATGAAAAAATGAGTTAAATTCATGCCCTTCCTTTCCCTTCCTTGAAAGAACTTAAATTCTACTAGGTAGAAGACTATAATTATTTGAACACCTATAATATCACCAAAACTGTGATAGGAAGCACAGTGCAGAGAGAAAGTACTACTGGTACTGTGAAAAGGAAGGAAATCCATCTGACTGCAAGATGAGGAAAGGCTTCATGAAGGTAATAGCACTTAGTGTGGACTTACAAGGACCGTAAGATTTTGACAGAGCGATAGGAAGCTAGGATTTCAAGCAGAAGGAACAGCATGGGCAAAAGCATGGAGGGTGGAAAGTGGTACATCTTCGGAGAACAGAGAATGATTAGTCATTGTTGCCAGATTAAAAAACAGCCTCAGGGAAACATCAGCCCTAGCGATAGGAAGCTAGGATTTCAAGCAGAAGGAACAGCATGGGCAAAAGCATGGAGGGTGGAAAGTGGTACATCTTCGGAAAACAGAGAATGATTAGTCATTGTTGCCAGATTAAAAAACAGCCTCAGGGAAACATCAGCCCTGCAGTACACCTGTTGTGTAGCCTCTGAAGGACCTGATTTGTGACTAATCTTTCTCCAACTTCAGTCATTTTGATACTACTCTCAGTGTCGTGTTTGTGTTCTACCTCTTCTAGTGTGCACTTAAATTTATTTTGAAAGAAAATTTTATATAACTCTTATAAATGGAAAACCAGTGTAATTTTCCAAAAATAAAATATAAAAATAAACATACTGAAAACAAAACAATATTTAAAGTCTAGCTAGGTACTGTTTTTTGTTTAAGGCTCTGTCCTGTGGCCTGCTCTTTGTTAAAAAGAGTTTATGAAGGATTAGATACACATTCAAGATTTTTCTCCGTGGCATAGGTAGGACTGAAAGAAACCTGATAAAGGGAAATTTTTATTCCGTGATCCAGAGTCATTTAATGCCACTCCTCTATACCATCTAAAATCATTTCACAAATGGTGCATGTTCCACTCTTTGGGAACTACTGACAGGGAAAAGGAAGCCATTAAAGCTTTTGGACTGGGGAAGGAACACAGTCAGTTCTATGCTTTGGGAAGATTAATCCAATAGTGATAATTTGCAGTTATTCAGAGGGGTGGAAAGTGGAGGTGAGGAGATTATTTGCAATAATCCAGATTAGGGTTAGTTAAGGACTAGGGTGGTAGCACTAGAGGAATGGCTGTGAAGCAACATCAGAAACTTATAGTCAAATGAAGTAAGACATATGTAAACAGACCTTTTCCATACAATGTGGTACATGCTATGAGAGCAAAACCACAGTGAACTATGGACCACAAAGAGGGTGGTCAGAGAAAGCCCTCTGAAGAAGGGGATGCCTGAAGTGGGCCTTGAAGGATGAGGAGATAAACAGTTTGGAAGTGGGGGGAGAGTTCCTAGAAGAGGAAAAGGTGTATTAAGAGTAGCTGCATGAGGTGTGCAGGCAAGTCCAGTAATCTGGTATTGCTGAAGAGAGACCAGGATGGGGAGAAATGGGTAAGGCTAGAGAAGTAAGAGGGGCATCCTCTTGACAGGCCTTGTACTTCTAGCCAGGTAGTCTGGACTTTATCCCATAGGCAATAGGGAGCCATTGAGGGGCTTGCAGCAGGAATAACATGGTCAGATTTGCAATTCAGATAAAACATCACTGTGGAGGATGAGTGAGAAGAATATACCTCTTGACAGGCCTTGTACTTCTAGCCAGGTAGTCTGGACTTTATCCCATAGGCAATAGGGAGCCATTGAGGGGCTTGCAGCAGGAGTAACATGGTCAGATTTGCAATTCAGATAAAACATCACTGTGGAGGATGAGTGAGAAGAATATGAGACATTCAAGTTGAGATACACATATGTTGGAGTCCCAGAGAGAGGTCTGGCCTGGATATTTGGGCTTCTTCAGCATGGAAGTGGTGGTTAAACTCATGAGAATGGATGAAGTTGCTTGCAGAGTGAGTACAGAACAGCAAAAACAACAACAAAGAGACTAGAGGAGGAAGTCCAGGGCCTACCAATATAAGGGATGGGCAAAGAAAAAAGAATCCATAAAGGGAAGGACAATAACAATTAAGCGATGTGAAAGGGTAGTGCAGTATCATGGAAACCAAGGAAGTTTCCACAAGGGAGAATCGTCAAGATTGGAAAGCGGGGAGCATGGCAATCAAGAGTAACTTCACGGAGAAGTTCTGGTGAGTCAAGAAGGAGGTAGACCACTGAGCGAAGAGAATGGGAGGTGGAGACATTACACGCCTGCCGACCATTTCAGATCCACTGGGCTTGGTGTTTGAGTAGACATAAGTAAAGAGGAATCAAACATAGAGAAGTTCTGGTGAGTCAAGAAGGAGGTAGACCACTGAGCGAAGAGAATGGGAGGTGGAGACATCACACGCCTGCTGACCATTTCAGATCCACTGGGCTTGGTGTTTGAGTAGACATAAGTAAAGAGGAATCAAACATAGCTTTGGAGATTGGCAGCCCTGTAACTGATAGGAGCTGGGCTGTAGAATGAACTTATGGTTTCTGTTTGAAGTGGAATTTTTTTTTGTAATCCATTTAGTTCATAAATGGTCAAAGATTAAATTTGAATACTCCAGTTATTGAAGTTAACTCATTTAAGACATTAAGGAAAATACCTTGCAAATAAAATTGTGCTCATCCTCTTGTGTTTAGGTATTGATTTCTTTATTTATGTAAGATTGTTTAGTGTTCAGTGTTAGATGGTTTCCAAGAGTTAAAGCATGTGTGAAATCAATACAATATTCTATGTGTGGTTAATAAATCAAATTTGTCATTACCTTGCTTCCGTGAGTTCAGTTACCCTTGTCAGTTAACTAATTCTGAAGTCTCTAGATATTTCATTAAAAATCTAAAGCGATCATTATATACAGACTATAATCCACACACACAGTGTTCATTGATGGGAATTCAGTATTTGAAAATAAAGTATTGTCTTTCTATTACAAGTAAACCACACAAATGTCTTGCTGAGAAAGGAAGTGAACTTGACTGAAAGGTCTTTCATATTTGATAAATGATTCTTTCAGATGAATATGTGTTGTGTGCTAACAGCACCAGGTGTCTAATGACATAAGAAATTTAGTATTTAAGCTACAAAGCTATAGTAGGTACTATGGAGCAATGTTGTCTAACCCTTTTCAACTCATCTGTCTGTCTCATCTTCCCACTCCTGGAGAGATGGCTCAATAGAGAATATGAAAGAAAGGCGATGCAGGCAAGAATGTTTTATGTAGTTGTTAAAAAAAAAAGTGGTATGAAGAAATCAAACTGGTGACTATCTTAGATGACTTCAGCTTGTGCTATGTTAAATTTTAAAAAGCAAAATAGTCACAACATATCTAGAACTTTCCTTCTGAATGTAGTTAAATCTGGAAGGAATTGCTCACTTATATTTGAGGCAGTCCTAAACAATAAGCAAATGGCATTTGTTTCTATAGTATTCCCCACAGGCCTGTATGCTAATCCAGTGAGATCATCAAGTCATAATTACTTATAATATTTTCTAATTATTCTGTATTTTGTTACGTAGATAGCATATAAATAATATTTGGGGTATAAGAACATAAAATTTGGGATCTGACACTCATTTTGTGATCTTGTGCAAGTTTCTGTGTTCATTTTCTTCATCTATAAAATGCAGATAATGTGAAGTATACACACCATTAAGGTTGTTGTGGAGATTTACATGAGTTAATAACCATGAGGCTTTTAGAACAGTGCCTAGCATAGAGTAAGCTGTAAGCATTATAGCTTCTATTTGCTATTTAGAGGATACTTCTTTCAGGAAGCCTTCTATGATTTCCCCTCTGTGGATTAGATATTTTGGACATAGTTCACCATTGCCATTCATGGTTTCTGAACCCTCATAACACATCTCCATCCTGCGCTTTAATCGTCTGCTTACTGTCTTTCATTAGACTATAAGTATGTCTTATTTGGCTTTTATCCCAGTCCCTATTAGTACATGGTACATAGTTAAGTGTTCAATAAATGGTTGTTGAACAAATTGATAATTCTTAATATGCCTGCAGATATAGGAAATAAAATAAGCTTTCTAAATGTGCCCCGTGTTCCCACAAATGTCTAAGAGTATTCAAGCTAGTTTTAAGAAATTTAATTCTAAAATTCTCTCTCATTTCTCCTTAGTTTCCTCCCTATCCAAGAGTTGCTTGGAAGCAGAGAGTCTTTCCTTTCCACTGCTAATATACTCTATTCCCAGTGATACCTTCTTACATTAAAGCTGAGTTGTGTTTTAAGAGGATGTTCTACAGAAAGCAGCATGGCGGCAGAGAGCACACCACCCATTTAAGACACCATCTCCAGGGGCCTCCCTGGTGTTGGTGTGGTATTGGCCCCAGTTCTTTGCTTTTTGCCAAAGCACTCTTCACTTCTTTCTGCTGTTTAGGAATTGGCAAATATTTTGTTGGTAAACTTCAAAAGCATTCTAAAAGCATTTCAGCTAACATTTAAAAATTTGGAGATTTCATATAAAAATCCTAATTTCTGGCATCTTTTGAAAAAAAAAAAACAGAATATTTGTCAACATTGAGTCTACTTTCTTGCATAGCAAGCTGTCAGCCAGAGTTGAGAAGCAACTGCACACTTTTAAGGGAGCTGTAAGCCCTCCTGTAAAGTTAAATCCTTTCAACTCATAAGGCATGCAAGTGCACACAGACTCTTCCTGCTTCACTCATTTAAGTTATCGGCCTAGGGCCTCTAGATATTCAGTTTGCAAACCCTGATATAGACGATAATTGTCAAATGGTCCACTTTGCGTTGGTTCTTTATCTAAAGCCTTTGGGTGGCCAGAGGCAGCAAATAAAGTTAATATTCTTATAGCAACACCAATATGATACTTATATA